CAAGGAAAACTATAATGACAACGGCACAGTTGACCTATTGGACCAAACAGGACACCGTCACTGCCACATTGATCATCGCATCAGGTTTACCTACGGATGGGATAGGAAGAAACACTGCTTGAACGGCAAAAAGTACACATTTCAAATACGGAGGCAAGGTGGGAAGGCTTTAAACGTTGAAGGTGCTCTTGATCAAGGCCTTTCCATCGCACCTTCTAGTAGTTGAAATAGTAGTCTGATGTGGTCTAAGGGTTGTGAGCCAACGTGCGCTGATTAATCGTAACTCAGTGTCTATTCAAGAATGTGGGAGTTTAATTTCGGGCAGAACTAAGTACCTACGCTAAGTCGCACAATCGGTCATGTCAGACAGTGAATAACATACGCCTTTATCATTAGTTTCTTCCTACCAGGTAGTTTCAAAAAACATGCGTAGATCGATCAACAGCTACCTTAATTGACCTCCGACTGTCAGGCCTCAAGGGCTTCCCAGACTGTCTTCACTTCGACTTGAAATATCGCGGTAACCCCACCGAAAACAAGGTTCTTCATTGTAAACTCGGCTAACTGGATCGTTTTAGTGGCATGCAATCTGTACCGGTTTAAAAACGCACATGATTATGCCTATTTCTTAACCTCTTCGGTGAATATCCATGTGGTCTCTATTCAAAAGTGTTGCATATTTGCGAGTGCTGCTTCCAAATTATGAAAATCTGGGCGGTTTTTTTTCCGCTCTAGCCATGAGTATTGGAAACCATACGTGTCCCTATTTTGGAGAAAATATATGGAGTCCAAAGCAGACACATTCATTTCCGAGCCTGGACACCCAGGGATTCGGATCTGTATTCCTTGGCCGTCGAGCGTTAAATAGTCCGATGCACAGTCTCCTTCTTCTATCAGTTGTGGTTGGGAATATGTCCCTTGTTGGTATGAGATTGTCTTCGGGGGTTCGCATGAAATGTTAGTCGAAATTCCGAAATGCATTTCCGATCAGGAAGGATTACTTACAGTAGATGTGCTAACTCATTAAATGTCAATTAAAATTTCGAAATGCGTTCTCGTTTCGAAAAGATAAATTATGTAATGTTGTAAAACTAATCCTGTTGCAGCATAAATCTATAATGATCCAGTTACCTCAGGGTGTCGGCTTGCGAAAGAACGTATTTTCGGCTGCATGGAAGATCTATACTCTGCAAAAAATGACCACTTATGTAGTATGCAATTTATCATTGATTTTCTATGCCCTTGAAAATTCAATTATATTTCATAGTAAGCAAGCATGCAAATATTCATTCTTTTACTTATTCGGTAGAAAATCACGTCTTCTTCCAATTTCCTACTCAAAAGAAGAGTATAATTCGGTTTTAAAAAAGTTTCTAATTGTGAGATTTTTTAATAGCGTGAAAGGGCCGTTCATGAAACTTCATGTATCTGCATTTACGAATGTGGCTTGTAAAGTTAACAATATTATTCAAATCTACTCGCTAATTTTATGAACCTCATATGGTCTCCTCTTAACACCGTAGAGAAATGCATGGTTTTCCGTACACGGAAAATATCCAGCTTGTAGTTTTGAAACCCTGAATGCAAGTGTAAAAGGAGGTCGGGTTCAAAATTATTCGGGAATTAGAAAAGTTTCTTAAAACCGAATTATACACTTCTTTTGAGTATGAAATTGGAAGAAGACGTGATTTTCTACCGAATAAGTAAAAGAATGAATATTTGCATGCTTGCTTACTATGAAATATAATTGAATTTTCAAGGGCATAGAAAATCAATGATAAATTGCATACTACATAAGTGGTCATTTTTTGCAGAGTATAGATCTTCCATGCAGCCGAAAATACGTTCTTTCGCAAGCCGACACCCTGAGGTAACTGGATCATTATAGATTTATGCTGCAACAGGATTAGTTTTACAACATTACATAATTTATCTTTTCGAAACGAGAACGCATTTCGAAATTTTAATTGACATTTCATGAGTTAGCACATCTACTGTAGCTGGGGTTCCAATACACATTAGATTGCGAAATAATTCTATCCTAATTCGTACTCGGCAGGATGTCTGCTTTTGAATGCGTTTCTTTTCGATCGTCTGCAGGGACCACACTCGGTAGAAAAATGACTACGTAAGTAGCACGCATTTTTCGCACAGATTTTCAGTGGTCTTATAAATTGAAATATATTTTGTTAAAAAGCATGAATAAACTATGCTTTTTTCGCTCACTTGATAGAGAATCACTTCGTCTTTGTATTTTATACTCGATGAAGGAGTATAATTAGTGTTTTAAAAAAGTTTCCTAATTCCCCAATAAATTGGAGCCTGATTAGTCGTTGCATTGGCGTTTAATGATTTCAGTCTGCAAGATGCATGCGTTCCGCGTAAGGAAAATCATATATTCTTCTATGCCTTTAAAAAGATATTATATGAGTCTATAAAATTTTGCAATGGATGCGGACTATGTTGTACATTTCATGAGAAGCAGTAGTAAACGGAGAGGTACGATGATGTACGAATGGACACTGCACGCTCTTAAAATATCTCAAAATTAGGAACTTTCTTTAAAACCTAAATATACCCCGTCTTCAAGCACAAAATGTAAATTCAACGTGATCTACCACCAAACTAGCAGGAGAAAGCGTACTTTGGTGCATGTTTTCTATAACATATATTTAAATTTATATGTCATCGAAAATCAATGCGAAGAATGCATGCTACTTAAGTAGTCATTTTTTACCGAGTGTAGTTTCTACAGTAGATTGAAAAGCCGACAGCCTGCCGAGTCCGAAATATTATAGGATTATGCCGCAAGATAATAAATATTACAATCTTACTTAAGTAACCCTTCCAAATCGAAAACGCATTTCGGAATTCCGTCTAAAATTTCATGAGATCGGTCACTCATTGTAGATAAAGCCCCAACTCACAACTGGAAGATGATTTCCCATGAGCGTGTTCGGATTTCAGGTCCAGCAAAACATGGGTTCGCCACAGCTGGCTGACGAAGACTACTAAGTCAGAAATAGTTATAGAGAGAATAGCATTACCGACGAAGACTATGAAGACTGGAAATGTAATTTCTGGTTTATTAACCGTCGCCAGCCCGCCATACCCAAACCCGGGGTGGGCAACAACTGGGTCTCGACCCTGCGACCTGTTGATTAGAAGCCAAACGTTCTAACCACTCAGCCATGGGCTCGTTGTCCTGTCGGTTGCGATCGAGGATTCACAATGGTGGAGGGGCGATCACCGATCGTGTTACGGAACTCACTCGTCCCGTTGTGTCCAGGGTCTGTCCCTCGAGTCCAACCAACAGCTACACAGCGCCGCGTAATATAGGCAGAATAACATTACTGACGAGGATAAGGGAGACTGGAATGGCCACTTCTGGTTTATTAGTCGTCGTCAGCCAGTCATACCCAACCCCGAAGTGTGCAACACCTGGGGCTCGATCCCGCCAACTGTTGAAACGGTGATTCCAGTCTTCCCTTTTCTTTGTCGGCAATGTTATTCTGCCTGTATTACGCGCCGTTGTGTGGCATAACTGGGCAGCCATGCCCACTACCTGTGTGCCTAACGGGAGCACAGGCGCAGGGAACCAGGTGTCAGGGAACTGCCAGCGCCTACCAGGCTGCGAGGGCCATAGTAAGTTGATACTGGTGTAGCACACGCTTAAAGACCATTTGATCTAGAAGGGTGACGCGTGGTTCTGCATTTAACTTGGGCCGTCATTCTTCAAGGTTGGGTAACCAAACAGTCGTCGACTGAGAGGCACTACCCATAAAGTACACACACTTCCCCCACATACACGAGAGTGTCAAAGATCGCTTGAGAATGAATGTGTGAGTGCACTGTGCACAGTGGGGGTGGATGCGGCGAGTGTAGGTTGGTGCTCCAGGCACTGGTTCGCCAGTCTCTGTGCAATGGATTCGCAGGTGGCCGACCAGGCCGATGCGTGATGGGAATGTACGGGGATACTGCGGACATGGTGATAGTGAAGCTGGTGGTGGTGGGCGCGCTGACCGACGGGGTGTGGGATGAGCTGAGCATGGTGGGTTTGCAAAATGTATTGTGATGAAGCTGGTGGCGGTAGACGCGCTGGGCGCGGAATGTGGGC